TAATGTTGCTATTTCAGTCAAAAAATTGGGTCACATACTAATCACAGTCCGGCTTTCTTATGCTTAAAATATCCAGCACGCATTTATTATTATATGCTCTCCTTTAGCTTCAGTCCAATCTTCATTGAAGTCCGGTCTACAGTCGGTACTCGCCGATGCCATTTTCATCATTTAAGATCTACTTAATCACAACCCAATCCAGAATAAAACTTACCAAGGTATAAAATTTACGTTCCATGCAGGAAATGAAAATACAATGCACATCAGAATCCAAGGGGGGGGGGGGTATTTCGCCAGGGGAACCGCCCCCTCCTCTCTGCCTACCTCATTGCAAAACGATATGTGAAACTTGTGCTGTCTTAAATATATTCCAATGAAGTGATTCACAATTATTTTTCGAATGGTATGCAGAATTATCAAGCCCGAAGTTTGTGTTATCAACCGAAGCAAAGGTCTGATGTTGAGAACACAAACCAATAAGGACTTGATAATTCTTCATACCTTGTGAAAACCAAATGTTCAATTCGTCAAAATAATGACCAGTTCCTTTTCCCATTTGTCAAAAATCTTTCAAATCAGTGGATCTATCCATCCCCTCCCAGCCTTGCCGTCTTCAACTTCCATCTTCATATCATAATCATTGGAAGCTTCTTGGTGAAGAACTTGTCCAAAAGTACATGTACGTACTCTCTTTCACATGGATGTGAATCCTCTCTTTGATGCTCGAGCGAAATATATATAGCTGCGTAAAATTGTTAGCTAACTGAACTGCGTACATGAACATACAATAATATTAAAATAACAGTGGGTGTGGAAGAATAATTTATTTATTCTCGTGTCCATTGCTTTTGTCACAGTTGCTTCCAATGTAATATTTCTATAAATTCCATTCTAGTTAGATGTAAATGAATGCGCCGCCGATAATTTAAATTCCTGGCACAGAACGCTAGCTGATTGTAGAAATATAGTCGGAAGTTATAGTTGTCGGTGCTTGCTATTTACAACAATTGTTTAAAAACATACAATAATTTTCTTTGCTATATACCTATAATAGTACATCACTAACTTTATATATACAACTTACATCACTTCAACTTATTTTTTCCAAATAAAGGACTCCTTGTCTTGCACATGTGCCGTGATACGGAATTAGGCCGAGTATTGAATTAATTATGTTAAAATGCTGTCAACAGTTCCTAGCTCGTGCAAATAAATTAATTAATTATCAAGCAAAATTTAGTCATAATGGTCATATTACAGTAAACACCAAGAAAATAAGAGTCAACTCCCCCAAAAGTTTGGAAAACAAAGGAAATTCGGGCAAATGCTGGAAAAAATAAACAAAATTCGGGCAATTAAATACGTTAGAAAACACGTTAAATGTCTTAAATTTCAATTATTTCATTACAATCCTCCTTACAAATTCGGCCAATTTTTCAATCCCCCGCCCCCATCGTTGATCGGCGCCTGCGACTGTACCATTGTATGACATGGGGGTTCGTGGGCATCGTATAAGCCCTCGAGCCCGCAAATTCCTTACGGTAGGATTTGTGTGCAGTTCAGACTGCAACCCATGATTTTTGAAAATAAATAGTACTTTCTTTTTTTATTTGTCATTCAGATATAGATGAATGTGCTCAGAATCTAGATTTTTGCGACGCTTCAAAACGGGCTGTATGTTATAATACAGTTGGAAGTTACTCATGCTCATGCAGGTTTGGGTATACAGGCGATGGATCTACTTGTACAGGTAATGCATGCGGTACATATAAAGTCACGTGGTTACAACATAATTATTCATATATGCACGTGACAACAGAATTCGATTCAGTCATTTACATTTACAGCACTTAAAAGACATCGAAAACTTTCCCATCTCTCCATAAATATTCTTTACCGCGATACCGGCGGTCCATGCCCCTGATTTCAGCGAAACCCCTATCGGGGATTCTTTTAATGATATTTTTGTACGCTCAAGGCTAGGCAGGATTTTTTCTTTCGGCCTGTCTTGCTTGCAGGATATGTTTTTGCGAATCTATAATTTTAATCTCGAACGGTATGTGTCAGCGCATGTAGGGATAAGAACAAACAGCAGTACTGTACTGATGTCATTATAGGAAGTACAACTACCTGAATAATATAAGCAGAACTCCCATATTTCGAGCGAAGCCCCTTTGTCGGGCCCTTCGTCATCACTCCCCGACGAAGGGCCTTCGTTGGAAACGTTGACATTCTACTTATATTTTTCATGTAGTTGTACTTCTTATAATGACTGCTGTTTGTTCTCATTATTCTTAAGTAGAATCAGCTCCCCCTTCTCGTACGCTCGTGTTTAATGATGTGCGTATAAAGTCACATATTTCTTGTAAGTGTAAACAAGAAAGTTCGGACGTCCTCGTGATTACAACATAAGAGTCACGTAATCAAAGTTTCGAGATGGGATAATGCCAACGATCACAGATTATTGCAGGGGTAGGAGGCAGTCAAATCGGCAAAAAGCGTCACATATTTTGTATATGGCTGTATACCCCCTTTAGGACATATTTTGTGTATGGCTATAGCCCCCACAACGCTGATATCAATGCAACGACATGGTGCTGGTTTCCTTTGTGTTTTGCTCATGAATTATTAATGAGTTTGAGAAATAATTATATAAACAACTGTAATTTATAAATATTATACTTTATATTCTGGGTTATGCCAAGCGGCAATCAATTTTAGAAAGTTTGAAAATATGTCCGGTGGACAACGACAGTCGTCCTCTGTCTTTCTATTTCGCTATTAAAATTGAATTGAATAACATGCGGTTAATTTCTTTATTTTCCAGTTCGAACTCCGTCAACCACAATCTCAACGTTTACCACAACTAAAATAACAACACAAGGTACACATACTATATATTTGTAATTATGGTATTAATTGTTTTGTGTGTCGCGTATAGTTGGGATGGAAAGCGTTCAAAACCTAACATATATGTCCAATGTCTAGCATCATGCCCAATCGACAAAAAATGTCCATTGCACATCTACGTTTCCACAATGGATAAATCAATATATGACCACCTGAAAAAATTAAAGACCTCTTACCAAAAATGCCACCCACTTTAGGCAATCTAATATGAAGTACGTACTTCCACATCGAGATCTCATCAATGGACAATGCCCATTCGTGTGGATTCGTCTATTGGTGACTTAGGCCCGTTTCATACGCCGTACTTCACATGTGCCGAATACATTAAAGACAATAGATAATGAGCTGAAATGCCTCATTATCTATTGTTTTTAATGTATTCGGCACATGTGAAGTACGGCGTATGAAACGGGCCTTAGTCCAATGGACAATTGCAAGTGAAATGTCCATTCCATGCACATATTCCATCCCCGCTGTTATATATCCAGGTGGGCTCAACAGGAATCTTAACGTCATTTGCCATTATTTTTCCACTGAATAAATGAAATAATGCCCATTAGACTTTCCGTTTGTTCATTGGACATAGACATAGTGAATAAGCATTCCTCACCAGGAGGTTATATTCAAATTCAAATCTCCCGAAAGTACTCAGCAAATTTAATTGCAGACACTTTCAAAACGTAGTCAAAATAATAATTACATAGGGGCAGATGCACCTTGAGCAATTTGGGCATCTCACTCAATAATATCAAGTACGTGGAAAAAGTTTTGTTGTTGGAAATTTCGAGCTAAAAAACGTATATTTTACACTCGTGGTACTAGTTGTAGTTCTAGTTATGCAGGCCAAAGCAACATGGTTCAATTTTGGACAAAATAGAGTAGGAGCTGCATGGCCCACCCATTGGTGGCACGTCTAAATTATAACGTATTTTTACAACTTTAGACAATCAACCTAGCTCTGTTTCTAAAAAGGAGGCAACAACATCTACAATTTCTACTACACCTACAATTTCAAGTGAGGTTTTTGCCTATAATTACATTGAGATGTATTGTAGTATATATTCATGTATACAGACTATATAGTTTTATGTTTTGGTGATATACAGTGAAGTTATTGTATAGTGTATGTGGTATGTCTTAATGTCGAAGCCCAACCAAGGTACGGGTTAGTTATTAGTAAAGAAGGAAAACTGGAATAACCGGAGAAAACCCCTCGCAGTACTGGAGCGAACCAACCATGAGGTTGAGTATGATGTGATTACCAACGCTAATTTGTTTTTTCTGCCCCTCAAATTTTAGAACAATTTCAAATTTATGGCCCTAAATTTAAATTGTATCCGCTACCGTGTTATTTTGTTGTGCTAGCGAACTTAAGATGGAGAGCAGATGACCGGTTTTTGTCACATGTACAATTATATTTCAACTAGTTTGGTTTGTTCTTGTAGTCGCTTTGCCGTCCTACATGTTTAAGGTCCCTATTACTGTTCTGAATGCAGTTTAATCAGTCCTGCACTGTGGTTACATTTGGTATAGGACGCAATATTTTGAGTTGATGAAGGAAATAAGTTGAAGTTCTTCTTACCCTTATTCAGGCAAGAAAATAGCAGATGATTCTAGTAGAATCATTCTCATATCGACAACAGTTGGTGGCGGTGTGTTTCTTAGCATCGTGCTTATTGCCTTACTGGTAAAATGCCAACGACAGAAGCGGGCTTCAAAGCTATCATCTCCTGTCGATATCCCACTGGAGGCAGTGGGAACTCCACAAGAACCATTGGTAATTGATGAGGTAAATTATAATTTAGAGTCGTGGTGCATGGTCGTGACATATAGTGAATGGTTATTACATGTGGACCTCTAGGAAGAACAGTTTTAAACTGATCGAGCTATCCAGCATAATTATAGTAAAGTTAGTTTCGTTTAGATTTCCTTCTGTAGTAACATTGGACGGATAAATAAGTCCCTTCCTGGAGAATAGTTTAGAACAGATGCAACTACCCAGTATAAATAAAGTGAATTTATATGAAGTTTATGGGTATCGGTCATAGTATCGGTTACTAATTGCAAAAGACGTGAGCTGACTGCAAACTTGGGTCAGCAGGTGGTGGGCGCACTGGCGTTGAGTGCATGATATTCTTCCAGACCGCGTAGTCAATAGGTAGGCCGGTGCCTTTTCTATAAAATCTCAGGGCCTGGGTGATATTTCCTATATTGACATTAAAGAAATCGTTATCGTCAAAACAGGAACCAGGTTACGAAACTGTCCCAAGAGTCACGGTTAGGGACTATTACGAAGACGTCACCACAAATGCAAACAAGTCGAAAGACATATCATTTGAAGGTCAGTAATGTATAAAATTCCAGTAACCTTGGTATGTGTAATACGTGGTCATTCTAAGAAAAAATGTAATATATCTTGGTTGAAACGAAACCTATCTTGATAATATTTCCACTGAGTACGAGGATAAGAGATGATAAGAGTAATGAGGATTGTGACTCTCGCGAGGTTTCGCTATGCGCGGTTAAATCCAGTCAATGGACCATTCCCCAATTAAAATTTTAGAAAAGTGGTAACCATTTCCCGTTTGTAATCTAAAATGACTGAAAATTGCAAACTTCGCAAGGCTATATTATCCGCATTTTACAACATTTTACAACGAAACTTTGGAATATTACTAATTTTGTGATGCTCTTTCAAGCTGTGATGAAATTTTTGTCTAGACTTGTGGAGTTCAAAATTTTGGTTAATTGGGGATTGGTCCATTCACATCAATTTTCAACAACTCTTGTTCAATTGTTCTCGTTCGACCGGGGCATGGGAGTTGCGAAAAGACTCATCAATTAAACTCTTGCTTGCTAACTCTCGTCAGATCAACTCTCATCCTCGTTTGACAAAGGGCCTATTGTATAAAACTCTTAACAGTTTTTTAATCACTATTTTGTAGTTAAATAGTAGGTAACGCTCCAAAACACGCGATTTTGATTGGCTAACATTCGCACTAACTACTGTTGACTTTCACTACCTTTTTATACAACCGTGGTCCCAGAATTTTATAATCTTTTGAAAGGTTCTGATTGATAGGGATACAACTAACCTGAGAAAAAGCTTCGATGTTTCGGGAAGTTAGTGAATGTGAAACAGGCATCCCTCGTAATCCGAACCTTTCTTACTGTTGGCACTACCTACACTGGCACAGACCTTTCAAGTTTTATAATCTTTTGTTTCTAAAGGCAAAACATTGCATTACGAAGAGGTTGACATACCATCAAATGCTGTACGCAATACATCTGGGTACACTGAATATAAGGAACGACCATTTATCGTGAACCTGAAGGGCACGAGGGACGATGGTGGTTATCGGGCACTTTTAAAGGAGAATGGCAGACACATAATACCCGATGAACCCCAGTACGAAACACCAAGTGTAGGCTATGAAGAACCCAAAATATCGCCAGAAAACCCTGGTTATACTGAGCTTGATAAGAATAGACTCCAAGGCAGAAATGCAATGGATGATGACACGTATCAGAAATTACTAAAGCGAGACTCAAGTTACGTTATGCCAGCTCATGAGAATATAAGAGAGTCATACGAAGACATCAAGATGGGAAGAAACGTGCCAGACTACACGGATCTGGATCTAAGCAAACGCGAAGCTGAGGATTACCCTGCTTACCAAGAGTTGGTCAAAACCTGAATTGTCCAAAGATCGCGGACATGGATTTTCACTTAAACGGAAATAGCAATAAAAATTAAGTTTGTCGCATTTGAAAGAACGTTTAAAATTATATGATATGAAGACCCGTTATAACTCTTTAGTTTATGAAGACCTTTACAACGGGATCAAAGGAGAATCACATCGATTATTTACCAGGATTATCAATACATATCAGTGGCGATGATATCTCTTGCAAATGTGTAACTTCATTCCCCTGAGCGAAGCTCGTAGAAATGCCTGCTCAAAATTATTCTATCAAATTACCAAAGACCCCCAGCACAAACTCTCCTTTTACCCGAGCGTCTTTCCCCAAATTATGAACTGAGGAAGAAAACTTGTGACTTTCAAATACCTAAAACTAATATACTTTTTTCAAACTTTATTCCAACTTTTCTTAAATAATTTTATCAATGTAATAACTGTTTTTAAAAACATTCTTTACTCATTTTTGTAAAATAATCTACACTTCAGTCTTGGGTAATCGCATGTGGCCGAGTAAAATTAAGGTTTAATTTCGTGAAATTACTTAATAATCATAAAGGGCAAAATTTATTCGTAATAAAGTGTGAACTTGTCAGTTTCTTGAAATTGAACCTCGTATTTCTCCATGTTTTCGCCGATGTTTTTTAATGCTGCCCATTTCTTAAATAATTTATACTTTTTCTAGATTTTAATTCTTCAATAACATCATCATCCGCAAAATTATGATGGAAAATGCTGCCAATATTAGTTATATACCAATCAAGCGCTCCTGCTCGTGTTTTAAATATAGTACAATAGTTTTGACGTATGGCTGATTATTTAATTGGGTGCTTGCCACATTTCAGGCTGGTAGATTTTAATGCATTGGTTCTTTTACGGGGGATTTTGTTGTAACTCGAAAAGGGCTCAATTAATTTGAAAATTACTCATCACGCAAGTGATACTACATACTATAAGTACAAAATTACTCATCCCGCAACAGATACTACATATAGTACATATTAATATATCTCTATCTACCCTCGCAAGGGGCTGTGGTTTGACACAACTGGTAAAAGTACCCACAAGAGGAAACAACATATTAGATTGGTGCCTCGTAAATAAACCCAAACTCTTCGACGAACCAGTGCAACTCCCCTGGTAGTGGTGACACTAGCGACCACTTTTCGATACTTATTAACCGAAGTGCCCCAAATCCTGTAGTCCGTCAAAAGCATGTGTATAAGAGAGAAATGAAGGACATGCAGTAATGTGCGAGCGTTTGGTGGATGGATCATGGATATGCAATGATCTGTGGAGTGGTGTTTTTAATGAGAACGATTGCCAAGATAAATTTAATATCTTTTATGAACTAATAATGTACGCTATTGATTCATACTTCACTTTAAAAAAGCAAAAAATCAGCGTTTATGATAAACCTTGGGTGTCGAACAAGTTAAAACAATTTATATCAAAGCCAAGAGACAAATTTGGCGTAATAAAGTCCAAGCTGAGATAAGATCGTGTAAAGAGTCCTATTACAAAAATAAAGTACATAATATGAAAGACTATGATGTATCTAAATGGTTGAAAGAAATTTAAAAACTTGGCTATGGTTCTAGAAAAACTGAATGGTGTGAGCAACTAATGGGTGAGGCAACCGGTACAATAGAGGAACTAGCTGAGAACATTAACAGTTTTTTCGTTAATTTATCAGATTTCCAACCCCTTGAAGACGATCCGAATTACTAGATCAAGCCGAATGCCCACCCGATATGCTCGTTGACACGTATAAAGCGTATCGTGCCTTGAAAGAAGTAAAATGTCATAAATCAGTTAGTCCTGATGAAATTCCTAATAGGATACTTCGAGACTTTGCTTTCGAATTATTCCCAGTGGTGTCTGATATTTATAACAGTACTTTGAGACAAGGAAAAATCTCTGAATTACTAAAGTCATCAATTGTCTCCCCAAGTGTATGCCGCCCAAGACAATTGAGGACGACCTTCGTCCAATATCTCTGACACCGCAGATAGCCAAAGTAATGGAAGGCTTTACTTTGGAACCCTCACTGGCCTATATTGGCGACCAGATTGACCCATATCAGTTCGCGATGAAAGGCCGTTCTACAACACAAGCATTAGTCTTTTTACTACGTAATGTCCTGGCAGTGGCGAAGCCAGCCCGAAAATTTGGTCATGTTATGCAAATTTTAAATCATCATTATTAATTTCTTTAGAAGTGGATTGTTTTCACGGTCTAAGAACATGGAAATATTTGCATAGCATGACCAAATTGTCGGGCTGGCTTCGCCACTGTGTCCTGGAGACCTTTTACCGAGGTAGTTCCTCGGCTCGCGTATTTTTCGCCGACTTTAGTAAAGGTTTCGATTTAGTTGATCACGGTGTCCTAGTTGCTGAATTAGAGAAATTGAATGTACGCCCCGCTGCACGTAGTGGGATAGATTTGAGTCTTTTTGACGAGAAAGGAAACAATGTGTTCGCATTTGCGATAAGATGTCCCCGTTTAAGTGTCTTAATGGAGGTATACCTCAAGGTTACAAATTAGGCCCTATCCTATTTGCGGTCCTGGTAAATAGTCTACTTCGTGATTGGAATTTCGGAATCAAATTCGTGGACGACCTAACAACTATTGAATTTATCCCAAGATGTTCACTGAGTGCAAGGCAGCACGCCAGAACTATTTGTGTAAATTTATACTAACCTTTTATTAATTAAATTAAAAGGTTAGTATAAATTTACACAAATAGTTCTGGCGTGCTCCCTTGAACAAAAATAGTTGAAAGATTATTGTTTTTAACTATATAACAATAAATTTCCAAAATGTGTACTGTAGGTAGGTATGTTCTGCATTTTGTGAGCTTTGATTTAATGTAAAATTTAACCTGAATCGCTTCGTAAAATGTTTTGAAATGTTCATTTCAATATTAAACTATAAGCTGCTTTTTCCGATAAACTGTTTTTACTTTATAAAACAAAATAAGTTCAAATTGTTGAGTAATTTCAGTTCAGTTTTTAAATTAATTTGCATCTCCTTTACATTTTACCTTTTTTCCTAAATTAAACAGGGTAATTTAGCAAACTTTAACACAGCTTCATTGAAAAGGAAAGCAGTGCATGTTTTTATACGCAATAAATTAATGCAACAAAATTCTTAAACATTCAAAGCAACTTGCCCTATATTCCACGATGTTTCACAGTACATCAGTTCTTCCCATACTCTTCAAACAAACACTGCTTCAAAGCTCATTGTCGGAAACGTGATTTTCCAAATATGTGCTTTTGAAAATTGAAATCTTGTTTATCCCACTCCTGCCAAACAGCCATATTTTTTAGATCAGTGAGGATGACCACCCACCGAAACTTCGTTGGTGAGCCACGCCCGCGATCATTAATGAACTTTAGACTTCGCTAATGCTTTCGCTTCCCCGGGTGTAAATAGCCGGACGGAATTAGTACCCTCGCCCCGGCTTACGCCAGGAACGGCGCTCCGCGCCGTTGGCTCGGGGACAAGGGGCATGCGATTAAACTCGAAGAAATGCAAAGAAATGATAATTAATTTTCTCCAGTACAGATTACCATTCCAAGATGCATTACAGGTTGGTGGGAATACAATTGAAAGAGTACCATTATACAAGTTACTTGGTGTTTATTTGAATAACGCTCTCTCATGGAATCTACACTGTGACTATATTACTAAGAAAGTTAATAAGAGACTCTATATACTGCGTATACTATGGAGTGCAAGCCCATGTCTATTATTACTGGTGATGACCATCGTCCTGATCTACTAATTTTGACCAAAGACAATTGTCTGTATGTACTCGAACTAACCGTTGGATATGAGACTAACCTGAGGAATAATATACAGCGCAAACTAATTCAAAATATAAAGCGATGATCGTAGAACAAAAGAAAAAATTCCGGCCGGTAAAGTTCATTAATCCTTGTCAACATGGCTTCATCCCAGGAAGAAATTGCGTCACTCAGTTAATCGAAGTGTTCGACACGATTGGTAACTTGTTGGATCGTGGTAAACAAATCGATGTCTTATACCTGGACATGTCGAAAGCCTTCGATAAGGTGAGCCACACACGTCTTCTCCTTCGTCTTCGTGATATCGGATTTAGTGGTAACATCCTCAAATGGTTCCAATCATACTTACAAGATCGTAGACAACAAACGACAATCCTTGGAGCAACATCATCTCCTACACCAGTAACTTCAGGAGTACCTCAA